CAGGAAGTAGCGCTCGTAACCCTGCCCACGGACGGGGGCTGGGCCCCACACATCCATGTGAAGCGTCTGCAGGGGAGCCTCTGTCGGGGGGAAGTGGGAGGAGTGAGGAGTAGCCCGGAGGCGACCCTCGACACAAGGGACACAGGAAGGTCCTGGCCCGGAGGGGAGAGGAGGGAGAGACTGGGGAAGACCAGAGACAAGGACACGGGAAGCCATGCTCCGAAGACGGGGCAAGGAGGGGTGGCCAAGACGGTGGTGCCACAGGAGAGTCTCGTGAGACAGGAGGCGACAAGTACAGGGGGCAGACTCAGGACCAGACCTGGACGCAGCAGCAAACACCTGACCCGACGCTGCTACCTGACCGGACGCGGGGACAGGAGGAGACTCAGTGGTCAGGGTGTAGAGGCTCGACCCCGGCCGACGCGAGAACGTGGCCAGGTGCCGGCCTGTGCGTGCGTCCGTGCAGTGGGTCACCCGCTGACTCGCAGGAGTGAACTGGTGAACCCCCGCATCCTGTAGGTCTGCACCACTCACCAAGTTCGTCGAGAACGAGGGGAGGTACAGGCCAGACAGGGTGCCCGAGGGGGCAGCCGGACACGGGAGGACAGTGGAGAAGTGAGCGAGGACAGGACCCCCAGAGGGGTCAGCCAGGGAGACTGCAACCGGCCGACCAAGCGGCGTGAGTGTGGTGCGGTCCCGAAAGAAGGAGCGAGAAGCCCCAGAGTCAAGTGTAAAGGTGAGGGAGGCCGAAGCCAACGCGGTACCTGAGAGCGCAGCCTCACCCGCACCTGAGGAAGCAGACTCACTAGCACCTAGAGCAGCAGCCGTACCTGTACCTCGAGCAGGAGACTCACTAGCACCCAGAGCAGCAGCCTCACCAGTAGCTAGAGCAGCAGGTCTTATACCTGGGTCAGGCGGGACGCACAGGTGACCGGCACGGTCAGTACTAGTAGGCAATGCATACATGGCAGTGAGAATAGCATCATAGTCAAGAGCATATATATCTACCCTCTGCCTAAGCAACTCCACCCAGTCGGGAAGCTCAGCCTCGTCGCCAAACACGGTACGCCAGGCGTCGCTCAGACGGGCGAAGCAGCGGGACGGTGTATGACTACGTGTCCCACAAGGCTGACCAGTCCGAGTACCAGTGCGAATCACGTACGAGCAGCGAACAGCACTGAGAGACCCTCCACTCTGAGCGTACCACTCACGAAGCTGGCGAGGCGTGAGAGACACGGGAGAGGGTCGCGGGAGCTGCATCTGGCCGCCACCACGAGTAGAAGCAGCAGGAGTGGTAGTAGGAGTAGCGTCGCCACCCCTACAGCCCCAACCAGCGTACCACTCACGCAGCTGCTGCGGCGTGAGGGAGTCACGCCGGCGTCGCTGGGGCTGCATTTGGCTCCGCAAGTAGAAGCAGGAGCAGGACTAGCAGCAGGGAGGCAGGCAGCCAGGCAAGCCAAAAGGCAGGCAGGCAGGCAAGCAGGTGACGCGCAGTGTGCTAGCAGGGCAAGAGCTCACCAGTGGTGGGAAGAGTAGGCTCGGCGACTCAGCGGCTCGGCAGCTCGGCGGCTCGGCGGCTCGGGCGACTCGGGCGGCTCGGCGGCAAGGCGGCTCTGCAGCAACTGCAGCTCAGCAGCTCGGGGACTCGGCGGCTCGGCGGCAGGGCGGCTCGGCAGCAACTGCAGCTCAGCAGCTAAGCGACCCGGCGGCTCGGCTGTGGGGCGGCTCGGCTGCTGCAGGTGAGCGGCCCGGCTGCTGCAGTGGGAGATGAAGGAGGAGGAGAAGCAGGGGAGGCCACACACCTGCCACCCCTCTGCTGGCGGCCCCCTCAGGTCGCCTCGACAGGCGACGGGAAAAGGGGGGGTGGGTGGTGGGGGGCCGGTAGGTGCAGCGGCGGGGCCAGCAGATGCAGTTGCGGGGCCGGTAGAAGGGGGGACGGCAGGAGCCGTCAGGAGGAGACCGGGCCGCGACGGGGGCAGGCGGCGGGGCCGCGTAAGGGCCTGGGCGGGGCCGCGACGAAGCCGTCGGCGGGGCCGCGTGAAAGCCGGGGCGGGGCCGCGTAGAAGCCGGGGCGGGGCCGCGTGAGAGCAGGCGGCGGGGCCGCGAAGGAGCCGGGGCGGGGCCGCGTGAGAGCAGGCGGCGGAGCCGCGTAAGGGCCTGGGCGGGGCCGCGACGAAGCCGTCGGCGGGGCCGCGTGAAAGCCGGGGCGGGGCCGCGTAGAAGCCGGGGCGGGGCCGCGCGAGAGCAGGCGGCGGGGCCGCGAAGGAGCCGGGGCGGGGCCGCGTGAGAGCAGGCGGCGGAGCCGCGACAGAGAGGGCGGCGGGGCCGCGTCAGTGAAGGCGGCGGGGCCGCAGGGGAAATGGCGACCCGAGGGGTCGCTAAAAAAAAGGATCGCGCCTCGGGGGGGCGCTTCGGTGGGCCCAAAAAAAAAACCGGTCCGTAGAAGGACCCGCTCTATACCATGTGAGAATAAACGAACAGGGATGAAAATGACTAAGGAAAGATGGGTACAAATACAACCCTAGAAACCCTGTACCCCATATGTGCTACCCCACTATAGCCTACAACAACTATGTCATATAAATCTGACAGTTACATCTTTCTTCATGTGATTGTTGTATTGTAATTGTCACCTACTTTTGTAATTTGTGATACACATTTCTGTCTTTCGTTCTATCTCAAATCATTCATGCCATACATTGTAATTAACAATCATGGTATGTCTCTCTGCATGTATTCTATGTTTTCACTTCAGTTGTACCATTCACCTCCTTTATTTCCAGATCCCTTGCATTTCTGTCAGGCTCAAGATCTCGTCTTTCGAGTCAAACCGCGCGCTTCCAAAGTTCACAGCTGGCATCCATGACTCAACGATGAAGAGCGTTTTGATAGCGCTCGGGGATGTCTCCATCAGGTTCAACTCCAGCTGTGAGAGATATTTTGCTGATCACCCGGATGCTAGCGATGTTCCTGCCTTCATCAGCAACGTGTATCTCAAGTCTGCTGTTTTCACGACGACTGTGCCTTCGGACATTGTCATTCTCGATCCTGTTCCACCATCCGTCACAACGGATGCACCAGTCACCGAGCTACAAGACGTCGGTCTTGTGAGCTTGTAAGTTATCTAAATTTGCGCAAGTAAGCCGTTACTAGCAAACATGATATTCAATAGCCTTTTTTTTTGTTTGAATGATCAGGATGTCCCATGTGGACACATTGGTGATGGTAACAAACGAAGAGAAGATAGCAACACTTGCAGCAGACCTCAGAGACCCAGTGCACAGTAGTCGAGTTGTCTGCGCTGCTGGAGTAGGAGATTCCATTTGTGGAATGCCTGTTTTCACCTCCGCGGCTTCGGAGGTTCACAGATGTCGCGTCCACAGAGCGACATCAGTCCGCGCGTTCGATAACGTGACAGCAACTCTTGTTGTTCACGAGAGTGGTAAGCATCATGTCTAGCATTTTCATTGTGGCGCTTGCTATATTTTCCACAAAATTTAGGTACTGTACATTGACTAAGTTCTCTTATGTTTCATTTTCAGATTCGTTCACGACGCAGGCGAAGGGTTTGGAGATTCAGCCGGAACTTTTGGGACGACTGTTCCCAAGTTTTCAGGTTTCGGATTTCCACTCCATGACAATGGGCGAGCGGCAAAGCGTGTTGGACACGCTTCGAGGCCATTGGCATGTGAAGGTATGTGAATTTAGTTGTTAGTTTTTAACATTTACTAAGATTTTTGTATACTTATTAAATGTGCACATCAATATGCATTTTTGGTGGTTACTGATAGCTCTCTAACTCAAATTATTCTACATGTACTGTTCATTGTTATTGAAGGTCCACTTTCGTCCTGAAGGAGCAGGCGTGAGCAAGACCATCTTGGAGATCTGGACGATCACGCAGGCGAGCGACGCTCCGACGAACTTTGACACATCGAGCACACCGATTTCGTCAACACCCGCCAAAAAGAGACAGGACGTGAGCACCCTTCTTATTGTGGTTATTTACATGTGCTCATTGTAGTAGTAATTTGATTGACGTATATCAATTTTTTCTTACACTTGGAAATTGCCCCCTCTTTTTTGTGCAGCGATGGTGAAGCTGTGAGCGATTTGGAACAGCGGGGAAGATGCTCAGAGGAGTTTAAAGAGTTAATGGGTTAATTATTAGACATTTGAACAGACCATGAAAACGAGTACAAACTTACGCGAGAGTGAGAACAACGAGTGTGAGACAGATGAAAGGTATTAGTATGCTAAATGTCTTTTTAAATTGTGTGGGTATGCGTTGTGTTGTGTGTGTATGCGTTTTCATTCATGTTTTCATTGCATAAATAACACATGTCTGTGGGTTTTAAAAATTGGGATCAAACTATCATTTCCGAGAAGGTTCTTTGCGCACTCAGTGAGTGTGTCCATTCGAACTGGATATGATAGAATTGACCCTTTTTTTAGATCACACAGATTGTGTTGTTTCATGTAACAGTTGGATGATTCAGAAACTATGCTATTGAGCTCCCCCCCATGCTAGGCAGGGGACGCGGTAGCATAGGGTCTGCGTCAATTAACTGTTACGCATTTCCATCATACTATGCATTAATTTCACTACCGGTAGTATATGCATTATACTTATGCATTTGCATTTACTTCACGCATAACAGCATCAGACATATGCATCACGAAATAAACAGTTACGCGTTCACAGTACATCATTTTGGCAACTCATGAAATATAGGTTCAGTCAAAACAAACTAGGAAATGAGAAGGAATGTGGTTCAGCACGTGGTAAATTAACGCGGCAAATACATAACAGTCAGTCACTTAGCTAGTACCGTTCACTATATTTTTTCCATCCTTTATTTTTTGAAGTATGGAGGATTGAAAAAAAAATTGTACATAACGATCGTAATACTAGGTTGCTTCGCAACCCAAAAAAAAAGAATTGCAGAACGCAGCAGATACACCTGCAGTCACATTACGGTAGTTGCTGCCATGCCACCCTAGCTGCTGCTGCTGTTGCTGTTGCTGCTGCCTCCAGCAGTACTCTGAGCCTTGCTCCTCTGCTCTTCTGCCATCTGCTCCCACTTTCTCTCCCCTGGCTGCAGCTGCAGCAGCAGCATGTACTCTGTTGCCGCCTCTGCATGCCTGCCCAGTGCTGCCAGGCTGTCAGCACGCCTCTTCCTCGCCTTGCTGTGTGTTGCAATCAGCGCAAGTGCCTCGTCACACGCTGCTACTGCCTCCTCGTGCCTGAGTGCGAGGGGGGATGGGGATGGAGAGGGACGGGAGGGGCACGGAGAGACATGTCGAAAGGTGTGTTTAACTCTCCAGGAGAGGGGTTCGGCATGAAGGGTGACCTAGTACATTACATGCAGCGGAGAAAGCTGCATGGATTTGCAAGCATCAGTGCAACAGCAACGCGCCGGGCGAGGGCAGCAAGCGCAGCAGCAGCAGCGAGGTTCAAGTGGAGGGCAGCTCAGGAGAGCACAAAGGACTTGGCTGCGGAGAATGCGTCTTCATCTTCGCAACATGTGCCTTGCAGTACTGCACCTCCAACACAGCCACATGGCTCACACCACTGCGACAAGCCTTGGACAGGCACAGCGCAGCGCAACGCACCGGGCGAGGGCAGCGAGCGCGGCGGCGAGGTTGAAATGGAGGGCGGCGCAGGAGAGCACAAAGGACTTGGCTGTGGAGAATGCGCGCACTGCTGCTGCCAGGGACCGTTTCTTGTACTGCTCTGCTCCCCTGGCTCTGTGACGGCCTGCACCCTCCACTCGCACCCGGAATGATTCGACCTGTGGGGGGAGAGAGAGGGAAGGAAGAGGAAGAGTTTTGATGAGAGTGCTGCCAGGGACCATTTCTTGTACTGCTCTGCTCCCCTGGCTCTGTGACGGCCCGCACCCTCCACTCGCACCCGGAATGATTCGACCTGTGGGGGGAGAGAGAGGGAAGGAAGAGGAAGAGTTTTGATGAGAGTGCTGCCAGGGACCGTTTCTTGTACTGCTCTGCTCCCCTGGCTCTGTGACGGCCCGCACCCTCCACTCGCACCCGGAATGATTCGACCTGTGGGGGGAGAGAGAGGGAAGGAAGAGGAAGAGTTTTGATGAGAGTGCTGCCAGGGACCGTTTCTTGTACTGCTCTGCTCCCCTGGCTCTGTGACGGCCCGCACCCTCCACTCGCACCCGGAATGGTTCGACCTAGAAAAGGCGGGAACGGGAGGGGGTTAGAGAGGGGGGGTGGAGCATATGAAGGTGCCTGAAGCAAAGAACAAGAAGCGGGTTGACAAGGCAAAAAGTTGCAACATGCAAAGAGAAAAATCAAACAGCGAAGAGCAGAATGAGCTGCGGGTGAGTAGGCAAAGATGATGCCTTGCCTGTATCAGCATATCAGCACACCTCTCTCACCTCTTCCAGTGTGACTTGCGGTCGCAGCCACGATGACGCACCACCCACCCACCCTGCTCTTGCTTTGCTGCTGCCTTCGAAGTCAACTGAAACGAGGCAAAATTTGTAGTAAGAACCGAAGTCGCCTTGCCTGAGTGAGTGCTCTCTCACCTCTTCCACCGTGACTTGGGGTCGCAGCCAGGACAAAGCACCTACCACCCACGGCCCAGCATTGCCCTCCTCCTCACTGCGTTCAGCAGCTTGTGTGAGAGCAGGAGAAGTAGAGGCGGAGGGAGAGGGGGAAGGTGAAGGGGAGTGGAGGAGGAGGAGGTGGTGGTGGAGGGAAGAGAGGATGGAGAGGGCTTTGTCGAAGTCTCCAGTGACCACCAGCGTTTCAGCCTGCAGAGGTAGGAGAGGTAGGAGAGGTAGGAGAGGTAGGAGAGGTAGGAGAGGTAGGAGAGGTAGGAGAGGTAGGAGAGGTAGGAGAGGAAGGAGAGGTAGGAGAGGTAGGAGAGGTAGGAGAGGTAGGAGAGGTAGGAGAGGTAGGAGAGGTAGGAGAGGTAGGAGAGGTAGGAGAGGTAGGAAAGGTAGGAGAGGTAGGAGAAGTGGGAGAGTTGTACAAGGCTGAGGTTGAGGCAAAACCATATGAAGGCAGGAGGGTTAAGTCGAAATAGACCACATGAGCGTGAAGGTTGTTGAGGCGCCGCCTTTAGAAATTGTGCAAGTGAAGGTACGTATGCGTACCCATGGCGGAAACACATGTGCACAAACCCACATGCCAACGCAGATACAACTCAAGCACAAACGCAGCTCAAATGCGGGCGTTAACCTTCTCGCCTTCCCTCCTCACAAAAAAAAAGTAGTAAACGCCTATTTAAGTGAAGAGTATATATATATATATATATATATATATATATATGACCCTGTGCTCAGCTCAGCATGCACAAAATCCTGCAACACCACACGTCACACAGGCATACCGTACCAGCCTCCACAGCACTCCACTGCATCGCACCTTGCACATGAGTAGCCGGTCTTTCCACTTGTGCAAATCACTCCCTTGCGCGTCAACCTCTCCCTCCTCTCCTCCAGCCTCTCCATCCTCCCCTTCTCTCAACATCCCTTCAAGCTCCTCCAAAGCTCCCTCGGGATCCCCTCCCTCCACCACTCTCCTCCCACCACCACCACCTCCGCCACTGCCACTACTACCCTCACCACCACCACCATCCCCAGCAGCAGCAGCAGCAGCAGCAGCACCATCATCCTCACGAGATCCCCCTGCAGCATCTGGTTCACACCCCACCGCCTCACGGACTCCTCCTGGCAGCATCTGCTCCCCTTGTCTTCCCAGCAGCCTGCTTTCAGCAGAGAGCAGGCAATGCAGGAAAGAGGAGGAGGCAGGGCTTAGGCCTGGGGATGAACCAATGGAGGAGGCTCTCGAGGCTTTTGCTGCTGCTGGTGCTGCTGCTGGTGCTGCTGGTGCTGCTGCTGCTCCACTACCCTCCTCTCCTCTCTCTTCTCCCTCTCGCTTCTCCTCTTGCCCTTCGCTTCCGCTGCCTGCCTCCCCTCGTTGCCCTTTTCCCTGCTCGCCCTCTTCCTGCCCCCGCTTCTCCCCCTCCTCTTCACCCTCCCCCTCCTCCCCTTTCTCCCTCTCCTTCCCTTTCGCTCCCCCCTTCTCCCCCTTCTCCCCCTTATCCCCATTCTCCCCCTTTTCTCTCTGCGCCTGCACCAGCTGCGGCAGCTCTGGGAACATGGCGCTGAGCTGGGGGGAGGCCAGGATGAACGACACTGATTCACGCGCAAACGCCCGCTTGTCATCGTCCTGAGGAAGGTTGGGTGGGGGTGAAGAGAATGAGGGAGATGCAGGCGGGCAGTGAGGTGAGGTGGGCTGAGCTGGGGAGAGGCCACGATGAACGAGACCGACTCGCGTGCAAACGCCCGCTTATCATCGTCTTGACAAGAGTTAAGAGGGGCAGGTTGTGGGGGTGGGGGGGAGGAGAATGTGGGAGATGCAGGGAAGGGAAGATGGAGGTGAGGTGAGGTGGGCTGAGCTGGGGGGGGACCAGGATGAACGACACTGACTCACGCGCAAACGCCCGCTTATCATCGTCCTGACAGGGGTTGTGGGGGGAAGGTTGTGGGGGAGAAGGAAATGTGGGAGATGGAGTGAAGGGACGACGGAGGTGGGATGGGGTGAAGCGGGTTGAGAGGTGGGGGGGGGGGGGGGGGGATGAAGGGGACTGACTCACGTGCTTGCTAACATGCCACTTCTCATCATGCTGACAACGTTCGGGGCAGTTGAGTGCATGCATGCAAGTGTATGTGCATGTGGACGCATGCATACGCATGAATGTACGGATACAGCAGCAGCAGCAGCAGCAGCAGCAGCAGCAGCAGCAGCAGCAGCAGCAGCAGCAGCAGAGCACTCACAGTGGTTTCGAGAGATCCTGTGGTCTGAGTGTTTTCCACCATAAAGGATAACAGCCCTATCACCACTGTCGCAACTGACCTGCATGCACACACGCATGCATGCACGCGCGCACAGAGAGAGACAAACGCCAGAGGGAGTGGGGAGAGGGGTAACGTGAGAGTGGGGAGACGGCAAGAGTAGGTAGAGGGGAAGGGGGAAAGGAAGAGAGGGGTGGAGAAGAGCCAGGGGTGTCTGTCAGTTGCAGACAGGTGGGCTGCGGAGGTCTTCCATCAACTCAGAGGTGGACAAGAGCCAGGGGGAATGAAGTAAGACGGCATTCTTTCACAACATCTCAATGCTAGCCGTTCAGTGAGCAGCATTGGTGGGCGGGAGGGATACAGGACTTGTGAAAGGGCCTGAGAGGGGTTGAAAGGGCCTGAGAGGGGTTGAAAGGATGAGAAATTGGGAGGGGTTGATGGGGTGTAAAGGGGTCTGGAAGGATTCCCCGATCTCACAAAGTGCAGAGAGGACAAGCCGGGAGCTGTTCCGAGGATTTGCCTGCCTGCGTGCTTACCACATGGGATCATGGGATTCCAGCTCTCTGCGTTGTTCTTTGAGACGTCTCAAAAGTGCTTACCACATGGGATTCCAGCTCTCTGCGTTGTTGCCATGTGGCGTGTTGAATGGTGTCGTATCGTACAGTGTGGCAGAGTGGGCAGGGCACGGCAGGGCAGGGCAGCGCAAGGAAGACATGTCGGTTGCAGTAGAGATGGGAGACGGGGGGAAAGGAGAGAGGGAGCAGAGCATAGGGAAGGGAATAGTTGGTCTACACTGCTCATAGCATATAGGCTCTCCCTGCACTTGCCTGTACTACAAGTTGTACATTAATGAAAGGACCATTCGAGGAGAAGAGTTAGGAGAGGGAAACATGCATCAGGATGGGTGTGTAGATGTGGAGTGGAGATGTGATGTGTGCATGACCAAGGCATAGAGATTGAAGAGATGTGACCATGTGATCATGTGATGCGCAACAGCACACAGCCAAAGGCATGGAAAACACGCTGCATGCTGCACCACGCTGCACACCCAGCTCCTTGTGCCACCTTCAATACGCAGATACCCCGGCACAAGAAGAATCATCTTCACTGCGTATCCACGTGAAAGAAGAGTGCTTTTGAGATGTCTTACAACGCTCTTCTTTCCTTGTGTGCCACCTTCAATATGCAGGTACGCAAAGCAGGCACAAGGTGACTTTTGAGTCGACTCAAAACGCACAAGAATCATCTTCACTGCGTATCTGCCTGCTACCCCCTCCCCCTCTCCCAGTTCTTTTCAGTCGACTCAAAAGTCAACTCTCCCAGTTCTTTTGAGTCGACTGAAAAGTCAACTCTCCCAGTTCTTTTGAGTCGACTGAAAAGTCAACTCTCCCAGTTCTCTTCCCTCCCCACAACCTCCCCTTCCCCCCTGCTGTCTCTCTCCTCTTCCTGGTGACTTTTGAGTCGACTCAAAAGTCACCTCCCCTTCCCCCCTGCTGTCTCTCTCCTCTTCCTTCTTCCTTCCCGTCTCTCTCCTCGTCCCACCCCCCTTTCTCTCTCACTTCCCCTCCCCCACCTTTGCACTCAACCTCAACCCGTTTTCGCATTCTCCCCTCTCCACCAGCAACCCCCCCAATCACACACGCCCCCCGCACTCACCTGGGTGGAAATCAGAGATGGAGAGGCAGAGGCGCGTGTTGGTCTTGAGAGCTTTGAAAGGCCCCAAAATTCAGACTCTCATACATGCCCACTCACCCAGACACGCTCACCCTTGAGTTTACATCGGAGAGTGAACTCACCCGGGTGGAAATCAGAGATGGAGAGGCAGAGGCGCGTGTTGGTCTTGAAGCGGCCGGAGGGCGAGAGCATGAGGATGGCGGGCGGGCGGAAGGGGTAGTCATGGGGGAAGCGCAGCTTCGCAACATACCACCCGCCCTCGTACGGCGTGTCGGGGGGACCCTCTAGGAGGAAATGCCACTCCAGCATGTTTCGTTCGTTCACATGCACCTGAGAGGAGAGGGGAGGGGTGGGGGCCGAGGGGTAGTCATGGGGGAAGCGCAGCTTCGCAACGTACCACCCGCCCTCGTACGGCGTGTCCGGGGGGACCTTCTAACAGGAATTGCCACTCCAGCATGTTTCGTTCGTTCACATGCACCTGGGGAAGGATGGGGGAGAGTTGGGGCGGAAGCGGGGGAAGGGGGGATGTGTTTTGGGGGATGAGTGGGACGGACGCGCCACGTACCACTCGCACTGGTAGGGCGTGTCGGGGGGGCCTTCTAGGGGGAAGTGCCACTTCAGCATGTTTCTCTCGTTCACATGCAGCTGGGGGGAACGGGGGGGAGAGGAGCGAGACGAGACTGGGGGCTTAAGGGGACCCTCTAGGAGGAAGTGCCACTTCAGCATGTTTCTCTCGTTCACATGCACCTGGGGGAGGCCGGGGAAGGGGGGAAAGGGGGGGAAGGGGGGAAAGGGGGGGGAATGGGAAGGGAATACTGCGAGTATCTCATAATATGGAGACTGGTGGGGATGAGAAGGGGAAGGAAAGGAATGCGGAGGGGGCTTGTGACGGGGGAAGGGGGAAGGATCGAGCAGGCAGAACGTGGCGAGTGTTGAGTCGTCTGGAAGAAGTCGCTTTTCAATGATGTGCGGCGGAGGGCTTTAGGGAAGTCGGAGGGCTTTAGAGACGTCGGAGGGCTTTAGAGACGTCTCAGGAGCTACCAGCGGGATGTGCGGCGGAGGGTCTTTGAGGAAAGACGCGAGCTCCTTCTTTAGCTTCAACAGACACCCCTTGCGCGCCGTCATGCTGCTGCTTCTGCTGCTACCGTTGCTCGCGAAGTTGGGTGACGATGCTGCTGCTGACGCTGCTGCTGACGAGGAGGCGGCGCGGCGGAGAAGACGGAGGCGAGGAGAATCTGACGACAGGTGGGTGTCGGGGATCGCGACGCGCAAGCGATCAACGGTCCAGCGAGGGAGACACGGCGCGCGTGGACGCGCAGCGGTCGATCGTCTAGCGTGAAGCACGCGAAGCCGGTCTGCGCGCACGTTGTAGCCGTAGTAACCGATATGTGCCAATACCCATGTAGACGCTGGCTAAGAAACCCGTGTCGAACTCCTGCAGGAAGTTATTTCATTCAGATCCGATCTGACCTGAAATGGGGGCGTGGAGTGGTTTTCAAGGCGGTTTATTTCGGTATTGTCGCCTTGACGGTGTATGGATGCACCAAGGATAGGCGAGGCGCGGTAAAGGCCGTCCTGCGTTATACAGCAATGGCACATGGGCATGTCTAATTGATCAAGGTGATATACGCATGGCATCTAATAGGATTCATTTCACATTCATCATTGCATGCATTTATGTGTAGGACAATCTACATTGAATGGCCGCACGGCGTGCACGTGCAAGTGAAAGCAATTTAAGGACCATAAGTTTACCATTCTTCGCAAAACACAGTGTGACATGAAATTTACCATGCTTCGCTCACCATCCATGATCACTACAGCACCCATCTTAATCCCTCCGAATACCCACAGCTCCGTATGGATGCACACTCCCACATGGTAAGCCCAAACCACCCATACACACCCCTCCCACTGGCATGCGCTCCTCCTCTCTTTCCCCCTGATCCATCACAAGACTCCCAAGTCCCATTTGTTCTAGTGCTAGCTCCTCCTCCCCATCCTCCTTATCTTCCTCCTCCTCCTCATCTTCCTCTTCCTCCTCATCCCATCTGTGACCCATCATCACCCCTTCCAACCCAATCTCCTGCTCTTGGTACCGGTACTCATTCCTCTCCTCCCCCTCCTCCCCATCCCCCACATCCTCCCCATCCTCCTCCTCGTCGTCCTCCTCATCACTCTCCACCATCTCCCCAGAAATATCCTCAAGCGATCTCCCTTTCGTTTCCGGCAGCAGGAACGTGCACAGAAACCCCACGCCCGCACACGCCATGAGAATATACATCGTATTCTGCACGCCGATCCCAGGCGGATACCCCGTATTCGAAACAGTCCCGGCCGAAGCAGTCTCTTGTAAGGGAGTCTCCTGCGACGCGTACACAAACCCAAACGAGCCCACGATCGCACCCAGCTTCCCTGCAGCCGAGCTAATCCCGTGGCACGTCGACCGGAACCGGGCAGGAAAAAGCTCCGCGGGCAGGATAAACGTCGTGCTGTTTGGCCCGAAATTCGCAAAGAAGAAAGTCAGAGCGTAGAGACACAGCAGCGCAATCGGATTACCCCCGCACGTCGTATGACTAGGATCCTCTATCGGAGGATCAGGGCAGGGTGTGGTGGCAGTGGGCGTGCAGGGGAGGGTGCAGGGGTCGCCGTGGAGCTTGGGGTAGAAGCCAGCAAAGAGGCCCATGAATATGGTCATGAAGAAGAACCCTTGTAGCTGCACGAAGACTCGGCCGAGCTTGTCGACTGTGAACACTGTCACCCAGTAGCCGGGGAGCGTGGCACAGAGCGTCATGAGCGCCTGGCGGGAGGAGGGGATGGGGGACGAGGGAGCGGGAAGAGGGGGAACAGGGGAAGGGAATGAGGCTTGCCCAAGCTTGTCCACTATGAAGACTGTGTCACCCAGTAGCTTGGGAGCATGGCACAGAGAGTCATGAGCGCCTGGCGGGAGAAGGAGAAGGGGAATAGGGGAAGGAGATGCGGCTTGCCCAAGCTAGTCGCCTGTGAAGACTGTGTCACCCGGTACCCCAATAGCCTCTCTTTCCCCGCCTCACCCCTCACACCCCCACCCCCCTTTCCTACCCCATTGCACAGCCACTCGCCGTGGCCTGGGACAGCTCGTACATCTCCCTCAGAGCGCTCGTGCTGTCTGTCACCCCGACACCCCCACTGCCCCTCCCACCTCCCCGCCATCTGCCCTATCTATCTACTCACGGCTTTTTTTCTGGGAATTCCCACAGGATGCATGCTCCCCCTTTCCTGCCACTCACCGTGGCCTTGGACAGCTCGTACATCTCCTGCAGAGTGTTCATGCTGTAGGGCGGCATGACCCTCTTCACCGACAGCGCCTCTTTCCCCGCCTCGCCCCTCCCTCTCCCTCCCTCCCTCCCCCTCCTGCCTCATCACGCTGCCACTCACCGTGGCCTTGGACAGCTCGTACATCTCCTGCAGAGCGTTCATGCTGTAGGGTGGCACCACCCTGACAATATTGAAATCGCATTTGAGAATTCTCAAAAGTGATTTCAATGAGAATTCTCAAAAGCGATTTCAGTAAGGATTTTCAAAAGTGATTTCAATGAGAATTCTCAAAAGAGACAGTTCATACATCTCCTGCAGGGCGTGGCATGCATGCTGTACAACGGCACCGCCCTCCACCCTGACACAGTGTCGTGTGCCGTTGTAACGAGGTGACTTTTGAGTCGACTCAAAAGTCATGCTGTACAACGGCACCATTCCGACACACCCCTCTCGCCCTCCTCCCATTCACCTCTTCGCCCCATCTGCTCTCTCTCTCTCTCTCTCTCTCTCTCTCTCTCTCTCTCTCTCTCTCTCTCTCTCTCTCTCTCTCTCTCTCTCTCTCACGCTCTTTCACCATACACTCACTGTGGCCTTGGACAGCTCGTACATCTCCTGCAGGGCGTTCATGCTGTACGGCGGCGCGACCCATCCAATGGCCGTGAACAGGTCGCGATTGAACAGGTTCTGCGAGTAGTAGGCTGTGTCCACCAGGAACCAGCACGCGGCCGTGGCGAGCAGGTGCACGCCGTGGTGGTGCAGGAACTCGCGCGAGAGCAGGCTGTACGTTCGCACAGGGGCGGTGGCTAGCTCGATTTCCACGTCTGCTTCTTCAAAGGCCGAGTGCAGGACCTGGGGGTGGGAGCGAGGGAGGAAAGGGGGCGGCAGAGGGGTGGGCAGCAGAAGAAAGAGGGACGGACGGGTGGCCGGCAGAAACGCACAGGCTCGATTTCCACGCCTGCCTCCTCAAAGGCCGAGTGGCGGTCCAGGTGGTGGGAGGGAGGGCGGGTGGGAGGGAGGAGAAGATTGGGACTTGAGACGCCTCAACTCGCGCCAGCACAGGCTGTACGTGGGAAGGAGGGAGTCACCTTTGCCAGCCCAAGTCTCCAGAATCAAACTCCCAGCCCCACTCTTCCATCCAAAACCACCGAACCCCACCCACCCACTCACCCACCCACCTGCCCCATATCACGTGCAGCCTGCTTGGCATTCCTTTGCACGAGGGCCGTAAACCTTGGCGTCTCCGGCATGGTCATACGGAAGTAGAAGGTGAGCGCTGCTGGCACGTACACCCCACCCCTCCACAACCCCCCACCACCCACCTGGCCCATATCCCGTGCAGCCTGCTTGGCATTCCTTTGCACGAGGGCCGTAAACCTCGGGGTCTCCGGCATGGTCATGCGGAAGTAGAAGGTCAGTGCTGCCGGCACCGCCCCTACTCCTAGCACCACCCCCCCACTCCCCATCCCCACAGCCCCCCACCCACCCACCCTCCCATCCCCACAGCCCCCCACCCACCCACCTGCCCCATATCCCGTGCAGCCTGCTTGACATTCCTTTGCACGAGGGCCGTAAACCTCGGGGTCTCCGGCATGGTCATGCGGAAGTAGAAGGTCAGTGCTACCGGCACCGCCCCCGCTGCCAGCACCAACCCTCCACTTCCCCCCATCTAGCAGCGCTGCTTATGCACCGGGTTAAGCCCGCCCAAGAAACCAGAATAAAACCCCCAGCTGCCCCACCCAACCTTACCCAACACCATCCAGCCCCACCGAACTCCACCCACCCACCCACCCACCTGCCCCATGTCCCGTGCAGCCTGCTTGGCATTCCGCTGCACGAGCGCGGTAAACCTCGGGGTCTCCGGCATGGTCATGCGGAAGTAGAAGGTGAGTGCTGCCGGCACCGCCCCCGCTGCCAGCACCACGCGCCACGCGTAGTCGGCTTGGGGGGGCACGGAGGCAATAGCGCCCTCGTCGAAGGGCGGCGAGGGGAAGGCTGCGTTGAAGAGCGCCCCGATGGCCATTGTGAATAGCGCTGCTGCTAGTATGCCCATGCCCTGGCGGCAAAGGGAGGGGTGAGGTGGGATGGAATGGAATGGGTGGCGGGAGGTTGAAGAGCGCCCCGATGGCCATGGTGAATAGCGCTCCTGCTAGGATGCCCATGCCCTGGCGGCAAAGGGAGGGGTGGAAAGGGGGGGGGAAGGGAGGTTGTATGGTGCTGCTTGGGGGGAGTACGTACATGTATGGTGCTGCTTGGGGGGAGTACGTACATGTATGGTGCTGCTTGGGGGGGGGGGGGAGTACATGTATGGGGCTTTTGGTGGGCAGAGATGAAGAGAGCTCCAATGGCCATGGTGAATAGTGCTGCTTTTGAGAATTCTCAAAAGGTGAATAGTGCTGCTGCTAGGATGCCCATGCCCTGGCAGCAAAGGGAGGGGTGAGGTTGGAATGGGTTGGAACGGAGGGAGAAAGGAGGGATGGGATCTTCTTGCTGACATGGTGGGGTTGACGAGTGTGTGGAATGGGCATGGTGGTGAGAGAGGGCTGCTGCTGCCAGCACCACTCGCCAGGCATAGTCGGCTTGGGGGAGTACGGAGGTGTGAAGGGAAGGGAAGGGAAGGGAAGGGAAGGGAAGGGAAGGGAAGGGAAGGGAAGGGAAGGGAAGGGAAGGGAAGGCACCCTCATCGAAACGGAGGGAAGGGAAGGCTGCGTTGAAGAGAGCCCCGATGGCCATTGTGAATAGCGCTGCTGCTAGTATGCCCATGCCGTGCAGGGGTGGAGTGGTGGGGGGTGGGGTGGGATGGGATGGGGTGGGGTGGGGTGGGGTGGATTGGGGTGGGGTGGGGTGGATTGGGGTGGGGTGGGGTGGAGTGGGGTGGGGTGGGGTGGAGTGGGGTGGGGTGATGGCCCATGTGACTAACTAACTTGGTGTGATGGAGTGGAATGCGATGGGAAGGCATGCAATGGCATGTGATGTGATGCATGCACATGGACTATAGCATGCCTTATACTATAGGCATACCTGCATGGCAAAGACAGCTGCAATGAAGCCTCCTCGAGTCTTGGTGTTGGCATATCTGGCCTTGCATGCAAGGATGGAATGCACATGGAATGCACATGGAACACGAAAGTCACAGAAAATGCACAAGCATAACAAATAGTTCACAAGGTGCAGCGCACTGAGAGAGGCGGTACCACTACTGAGCTTCCGTAACCCCTACGTAAAACTGCTGGTAAGCAACTCTACAAACAGCACCTTCAGCACAAAGTGGGTAACGCTGACTGCCCCATCCACTCACTACGAACCCCAGCCAGAAAGAGAAAAAGCAGAGAGTAGAGATGACAGCATTGGGGGAGGAGCAGAAGGAGGAGAGTGACAGCAGTAGACTGCCCCACCGCTGCCAGCAAACCCTACTACATACCCTGCTGTTTTACCCACATAACATACAGGGGTAATCCCAGAGTAGATAGGTGACTTGAGTCGAATCAAAAGTCACCTCGTTACAGGGGATAATCCTAGACTAGATAACCCTCTCTCTCTCTCCCCTTCTTCCCCTCCCCTCCCCTGTCTCTGCACTCACTTCAACACGTCGACAGGCAACACAGGGGAATCCCCTCCTTGTGAGCGATTCTTGAGAATTCTTGTAACCTCCTTCTCTTCTCCCCTACCTCCCTCACCCCTCCCTCTGCACTCACTCGGACATGATGACAGCCGATAGAGGATAATCCCCCCCCACACCGAACCCCAGCCAGAAGCGGAAGAAGCAGAGAGTGGAGATGACAGCCGTGGGGGAGGAGCCGAAGGAGAGAGACTGTCCCACTGCTGCTAGCATCATGATGATGAGCGTTATGCCATACACCCGCTTGCGCCCCCACCTGTCACCCAGACGACCGAAAAAGAGCTGCGCTTGGGAGGGATGTAGCCGAAAGAGTACGCGGGAGAGGGGGAAGGGGGACGAGCGGGTTGGAGAGAAGCCGAAAGAGAGAAGGATGTAAGAAGCGAGAGGACGGGGGAGAGAGGTGGGGGGGAGAGAGGCGGGGGGGAGAGAGGCGGGGGGGAGAGAGGCGGGGGGGAGAGAGGCGGGGGGGGAGAGAGGCGGGGGGGGAGAGAGGCGGGGGGGAGAGAGGCGGGGGGAAGAGAGGCGGGGGGGAGAGAGGCGGGGGGGGAGAGAGGCGGGGGGAAGAGAGGCGGGGGGAAGAGAGGCGGGGGGAAGAGAGGCAGGGGGGAGAGAGGCGGGGGGAAGAGAGGCGGGGGGAAGAGAGGCGGGGGGGAGAGAGGCGGGGGGGAGAGAGGCGGGGGGGAGAGAGGCGGGGAGGAGAGAGGCGGGGGGGAGAGAGGCGGGGGGGAGAGAGGCAGGGAGGAGAGAGGCGGGGGGGAGAGAGGCGGGGGGAAGAGAGGCGGGGGGGAGAGAGGCGGGGGGGAGAGAGGCGGGGGGGAGAGAGGCGGGGGGAAGAGAGGCGGGGGGGAGAGAGGCGGGGGGGAGAGAGGCGGGGGGAAGAGAGGCGGGGGGAAGAGAGGCGGGGGGAAGAGAGGCAGGGGGGAGAGAGGCGGGGGGAAGAGAGGCGGGGGGAAGAGAGGCGGGGGGGAGAGAGGCGGGGGGGAGAGAGGCGGGGGGGAGAGAGGCGGGGAGGAGAGAGGCGGGGGGGAGAGAGGCGGGGGGGAGAGAGGCAGGGAGGAGAGAGGCGGGGGGGAGAGAGGCGGGGGGAAGAGAGGCGGGGGGAAGAGAGGCGGGGGGGAGAGAGGCGGGGGGAAGAGAGGCGGGGGGAAGAGAGGCGGGGGGAGAGAGGCGGGGGGGGAGAGAGGCGGGGGGGGAGAGAGGCGGGGGGGAGAGAGGCGGGGGGGAGAGAGGTGGGGGGGAGAGAGGCGGGGGGGAGAGAGGCGGGGGGGAGAGAGGCGGGGGGGAGAGAGGCGGGGGGGAGAGAGGCGGGGGGGGAGAGAGGCGGGGGGGAGAGAGGCGGGGGGGAGAGAGGCGGGGGGGAGAGAGGCGGGGGGGAGAGAGGTGGGGGGGAGAGAGGCGGGGGGGAGAGAGGCGGGGGGAGAGAGGCGGGGGGGAGAGAGGCGGGGGGGAGAGAGGCGGGGGGGAGAGAGGCGGGGGGGGAGAGAGGCGGGGGGAGAGAGGCGGGGGGGAGAGAGGCGGGGGGGAGAGCAAGAGAGGAGGAGAGGCGGGGGGCACCACTGGGTGTAGGGAATGGGGTAGTGACACTTGATTTGAATCGAATTGAACTGAATCGAATGGGCTTGGAAATAAATGAGAATGCTGAGAGTGGCAAGCGGAAGCGACATCACCCATGCCCCACCTACCCATGTCCGAGCCAAACCATGCCCAGCCAACCCCTGCCTCAACCCATACCATGCCCTACCATGCCACGCCATGCAACACCATGCCACACCATCCCCAACCCGTGCCATGCCACACCGCACCATGCCACGCCCCCTCATCTCCCTCACCATGCCAACAAAGGCCCCCAAAAGGGTGGTGCACGTTACGAGTGAGTTACAGCAGCAGGCAGAGCAAGACACAGCTAGGAACGTTCAGGCACGCCCAGCCATGCCCCAGGCCCTCATCTCCTTTCCTCACCATGCCAAAGAAGGCTCCGATCAGGGCGATGCCGGTTACGACTGAGTTGACCCCAGCAGGCATGCGCCCAGGCGTGTCACTGCCAGGGCTGTAGTAGTAGATGCGGCCTAGCAGAGGAGCCACTCCGGATATGCTGCAGCGGGGGGAAGAGGGGGAAGGTGAGGGGGAAGGGGAGAGGGATGAGGGAGCGTGTTGGCGCCAGCGGGCTTGCGACCAGGCGTGTCACTGGAAGGGTTCTAGTAGTAGATACGACTTTTGAGGCGCCTCAAAAGTCGACCAGGCGTGTCACTGGAAGGGTTGTGATAGTAGTAGATACGGAAGAGGATAGGGGCCACTCTGGATATGCTGAAGCGGGGGAGGGAAGGCGGGGGAGAGAAGAGAGGGGAGAGGGATGAGGGATGACGGACTGAGTTGACAGCGGCAGGTATGCGACCAGTTGAGTCACTGGAAGGGGTTGTGGTAGTAGTAGATAGATGCGGTGTGGTGGTTGGTAGATGCGGCCTAGGAGAGGGGCCACTCCGGATATGCTGCACAGGGGGGGGATGGAAGGAAGGAACAAGCTTCGAGGCGCCTCTGAAACTTGTTGTGCTGGTACGTGCGGTCTAGGAGGGGGGCCACTCCGGAGGGAGATCGGGTAGAGGGGCGGAAGGCGTGGGGAAGTGGCGGGGAGCTAAGGGGGAGAGGGAAAAGGGAGAATAGGCGGATACACGACGACGAGGTGGTTACCAGCTGGTTACTTGTGGTAACCAGAAAAGCAGGTAGTTTCTAGGTGGCGAGGCGGTTGCGCAAAGAGGTCGTATGCGTCTATAAAAAACCCGAGGCCAGAAATGAAGTGAAGCAAAGTGAACAGTGGGAATGAAGTGATACAGCTGCATGCTTTTGAGGATTCTCAACAGACAGTGAGGCGGTTACGCGAAGAGGTCGTAGGCGTCAGTGAAGAAGCCGAGGCCAGCAATGACGATGGCTGTGAAGTGATACAGCTGCATGCGCGCCTGATCCAAGCTGCGCAGCACCCCCACCGCCATGCTGCTCCCTGCTGCTGGTGCTACTGCTGATGCTACTGCTGCTGCTGCTGCTGCTGCTGATGGTGCTGATGAGGATGATGAGGGTAATGGTGTTGGTGATGATGGTGATGCTGCCGCCTACCGCACCACGCACCCACACACGCCCTTCCGTCAAAGCTATGAAGGGATTAGTTTCGATCCACAGCGAGCCTACTAGCTAGATTTGAGCCCACACACGCCTTTCCTTCCTGCCCCTCCCAAGCACTTCCTCTTCACTCCCTGCCACCCAACCCCTCTTCCCCCTAACCCTCTCCCACCCCACCTCTACCTCCGTCTCCCCTTTCCACTCTCTTGCTCTCCCTCCGTCGCCACGGCTTGCTAGAGCAAGGCGACGTTGACGCCTCGCTTCATGGATTGGACACAAACGGACGGCATCGCAGACAGGCAGGGGCTGGCAGGCAGGCAGGCAGGCAGGCAGGCAGGCAGGCAGGCAGGCAGGCAGGCAGGCAGGCAGGCAGGCAGGCAGGCAGGCAGGCAGGCAGGCAGGCAGGCAGGCAGGCAGGCAGGCAGGCAGGCAGGCTGGCAAGGCAGGCAGGCAGGCAGGCAGGCAGGCAGGCAGGCAGGCAGGCAGGCAGGCAGGCAGGCAGGCAGGCAGGCAGGCAGGCAGGCAGGCAGGCAGGCAGGCAGGCAGGCAGGCAGGCAGGCAGGCAGGCAGGCAGGCAGGCAGGCAGCAGCAGCAAGGCAGCAGCAGCAGGGCGGCAGCAGCGGCTGCTGCTGCGGCCAGATAGGGTCGTGCGTGTCCCCCAGGGGAGTACAGGTGAGACTCTTAGCGTCGATAGCCCTCGATCCGTCACCACAGGAACCTGACCAACCCCTCTTCCGCCGTCAGGACGCACCGCACGTCACCGCAACCCACCGCATTACACCGACCTTTCCTCCCCTTGGTCCTCTTGCTACAGCGTTACAGGCTCAGATGCGACCGCACAAACCGGTCATGCAGTCTGGTCACGTCACCCTGTCAGAACTCCCTCTCTCTGAGCTCGCTCGTCTAGTCTTTCCGTGCAGGCGTCAATCCATGTTCTACTGAGTACATTTCAAAACGTGCTAGTCCCTGTAACGGACCATCCCTGTGACGGAATCCGTGACGTTTTCTGTTCCGGTTTCTGTAACGGTCCCTGTCGGTGTCCAACTGTGCCTGTAACGGTTGCTCTCGTTCCGAAACCGTCACCGTCTGTCAACACACGCTGAAACGGCAACCTCCAGAAGCCCTACTTCCTATGGCTCGAGCGAACCCGTTATAAGGTGGACGGATCCGACCCGCTGGAACGGATTCTCTTGCGATTATTCTACCAGGACTTCCGTTCATGTGTTGCTGGAGGGCCAATGCCTCCACTGCCAGACATCCTAGAAAGAAATATGGTCACTGAAAAGTATGGCGCGAAGACGGTATTAGGGCGCGTTTCAGGCCTCGTAACAAGCGACTTCCGAACAAGTTGGTCGTTGCACAGGGCCCAAGTTGTTACGAGGCTGAAAGTTATACCTCAGAACAAACAAGTTTCAGCACGACCAAGTAATTCGCACATGTACAAGGTTTGGTCGCAGCCAGTAGAATGGTGCGTCGATTCACTGTCTGCGAAGGCCTGCCAGGTCCATAAACTGACGGCTTTACGAGCCATCTTTTTGTTGGTGCTGCCCAAAAATATTTTTAGGGGAAAGGTTCAATTTACCGCTTGGTCAATTGCAAACAACATCACAAACAGGCCAGCCTCTTTGCTTCGAAAATGCCTTGGACACACACCGTTTTGACCGTTTCGACTTCAAACAGTCCGTCAATTTTTTTTCACCAGCTAGAGGGTGACGAAAACCGGTCGCTTGCTGTCAGGTAGACAGTGCGCGACCCGGAGAATCATGATCGCCAGCGTTTGTAATTCGACTAGCTTTTAGCAAGAAGCTGTTACTAAGTTTTGGTCGCCCCTAGTCGCCTAAAGTAGCAGAAAATCGCAAAGGTGTCGCTTGTTGCGAAGTGGCTTGTTCGTAACAGCTTGAAATGCGCCCTTAGTAGCGGCCGAGGTTGTGTTCTTGAGGAACTGTGAGGTGAGTTTTCGGCGTCGGGTCGCGATGCGGAAAATGGAGGACGATGATGTGGCTAGGCGGTCTTGGAGTGTGGTCGGTGGTGGAAAAATCTGACACCAGAAGCACTTTTGAGCGCGTTTAGAGAATGTCCGTGTCCTTCTTACAAGTACTTCCTGGCAGACATGTAGCTCGCTTTTCTTTAGGCCCTCTTGTATTTCACATTTTTGGACGATTGTTGCATACATTTTACATGTTTTTTATTTTACTATGATTTTTCAAATTCATTAGCCCCAATCCAATGTGAAAATCTTGTAGCATTGTATAGAAACCAGAATCGTCTCGAATAAGTTCTTTCGTTGCATCATTAATAAATATGGGTATGAAATATATCGCACTCGGTTTAAGGCATTTTATGCTGGATGTGGTGTGATGATTGTCTTTTGTGAAATTTATCAGCTAGATTATGAATGCCACTTTGTCCTTGAATTGGATCATTCATTCTCTGGGCACTTCACCTCCGCTTCAAGGCACACTTGGATTCGCCACGTGCCTAGACTTCAACGGTTCAGATCCTGTAACGTGGCAATCAGCCAGCGATTCTCGACGTGGCATTCTTCGAGGTACTTGATTCCTGGCCCTTGAAGTTTCCGCAAAGTTCCCGCCACTTTTTAGCCTGGAACCTCCGAACTGATCATGCACCCCACCACACGCCAGGACCAGGATTCACGGCCCAAATTCGCCAATCCAGAAGCTCCGCCTGCCCCATCCAGGATGTACCATGCAGGATGGAATTGAGGGACTACCGCAGCACGTAGTGAAAGGAAGAAGCAAAGGGAACCTAGAGATCATCCAGATTCTAGACCAGGTCTCTCCTGACCAGACACGCACACTACAGGTAGCGCGCACACAACAGCAAGCATTCTTGTACAGTTCTGCCAAAGGGAGTGCCGAGCTGAGCCGATCCGGGAGAGCCCAGCTCCGCACTTCTACTAGGTGTATTGTCGAACTGTCGGAGCGCTTCTGGTCTGGTCTGATTCGCAGCGACGAGACTAAGTGTTCAGAGTATCAAGTGCACGAGAAGAGGCGGAAGGCTCACCAGCCCCGACATTGCAGCGTGATCCGCCGCCTGTGTGTGCTGTCTAACGACGAAATTGAGGCACGCGAATTGGTTCTCCCGCAATCTGGGCTGTTTCCTTGTCCTGGTTCTCTGAAAGAAGCTCTCTTTCCGGAAATACCTCAGTGCTGCGTAGGCGATCTCTCCTCGAGGCAGCATTCTAGCCTGAAGTGCTCGAACCTAACCAGCTCGTATATTGACGAAGTTGACGACTAATCTCACTCTCGCTCGCTCTTCTTCACGATATGGCTTCAACAGCCACTCAGTCGGTGGTGTCTGGGAGTCTCTCACGTGCGCCGCGCAGCAGAAGCAGCAGCCGCGGAACCACGGTAAACGCCACTCTTAGTGCCGGTCGTCCGTTATGCCTCGCTCGTCGTCTCTCCCCGCTCCTCCCGTCCCGCTCTCCCCAACTCCCCGCACTCCGCCGCAACTCCCGGCGGCAGTCCGTGTCCTCCGTCCATTCGGCTCTAACCTCGTCCTCACCCTCGAATACCCTCAGTGCCAGCACCTCTGCCACTGATACCACTGCAATTACCAAATCCACCGCTTCGAAATTCCCTTCAACCGCCGCTGCCGTCGCCGCTGCCTGGCTGCTGCTGGTTCCGAGCGCGCCCGCCGCATATGCTCTGGACGGACCTTCTGCCCCTCCCTCTACGGTCCCGGCAGAAACTACCGCACTCGAGCAACCACAGCGGCAGCAGCCACCGATAATGCAGGTCTTCAGAGGAATGACTGCGCCAGAAGTTGCCGACGCGCCATCGTCGGCGGAAGCGGAAGCGGAAGCGGAGGCGGAGGATGGGGAGTGGCGGTACAGCCGCTTCCTGGCGGAGGTAGACGCGGGGGAGGTGGAATCTGTGGAATTCAGCACCACGGGTTATTCGCTTGTGGCCACCACCAAGGGCGGCGATGAACACAAGGTGTGTGTGCGGGCATCTGGACCGTTGATCCAATTATTCCGCACAATCTCCACTTCCTCGCTCTCCCTTTCCTGTACCGCACGCACACACTTCCACCCCCGTCCTCGATCTCCTTTCTACCTCCCTAATTCCCCATCCTCCTCACCCCGCTCCTCGCACTCGCACTGCTGCGCACACCGTCTCCGCACCTCTCCCCCTTCCACCCGCCCCTCTCCCCGCGCGCGCTTTTTCCGCGCGTCCCCTCACACAGGTGATAATCCCGACGCTCAAGGGGGTATCCACGGAGCTGGCGGACACGCTAGCTCGCAAGGGTGTGGAGACGAAGATAGACGCGGGGCTTGATCCCAAGGTGGCATTCGCACTCGAGCTCGTCTTCGACACCGTGCTGCCGCCGCAACCTCTCCCTCTCCTCCCCCCTCACCCCTTTCCCCAACTCCTCCCCTTTCCCCTTTCTCCCCCCCCCTCTCCCGCCCCTCCCACCTCCTCCCCTATCCCCCACCACCCCTCCCCCGACACACAGGTGATGATCCCGACGCTCAAAGGGGTGTCCACCGAACTCGCAGACACTCTAGCGAGCAAGGGCGTGGAGACGAAGATTGACGCGGGGCTGGACCCCAAGGTGGCGTTCGCACTCGAGCTCGTCTTCGACACCGTGCTGCCGCTCATGATCGCCTTCGGCCTGCCGTTCCTTCTCTTCAACCAGGCGAACCCCTTCGGCCCCAACGGTCCCTTTGGCAGCTTCCTCAGGTGCGGGAAGGGAGAGGGGATGGGAGGGCGATGAGAGGGGTTGAGGGGATTGTTGGGTCAATCTGAACGACACGTGCTAAACCAGTCCAACCCACCCCAACTGCGGATTCAGAAGCTTCTTCAGGTGAGTG